GCCGACCAGAGACTACGACGAAGAGGACGATGAAGACGAGGACGGCTCAGAGGGAGGAGAGGTGGGGCTGAGCTTCCAGGTGAACCGGAACGATCAGGTGAGCAACTGAGGCTCCCATGATGCACCTGTCCAGACCAGCAGAGATCGCTTCACTTCTTGTTAGTGGAAGTGAAGCGACATGAGATCTTTGTTGAGTTCTTGCTGCTCAGTGATGAAGGATTCTGTATTTATGAAGATCAATATTAATCACTCATTGTGGTCCGGTTCTCCGGTCTGAACTGAGCCGGTCTGGTGGATCCACCGGTGACTGTTCTAGACCAGGTTCAGACCAATGTTTCTATAAAAAGACATTATTATCTACGTTGATGTTCTGTTTAAAGACGGCAGCGTGTCAGAGGAGGTGTGATGGTCACATGACGTAGTCGTTAGTGTCGTCCAATCACAAACAAGCTGTCTTTATTTTGACCGAAGAAACTCTTCTTCCTCTCAGGACGACGACGACGATGATGACGAATTTGGTGAGGAAGAAGGTGAGTGAAGAGTCATTCTGATGTTTGATTGGTCGCAATCCTGTCTCTCCCCTCTGATTGTCTGTCTCTCTGTCTACCTGCCTGTCTCTCCGTCTGTCTCTGTCTCTCTCAGAGGATCAGGCCGGCATTCAGGGAGAAAAGAGGAAGCGAGAGGTGGACGACGAAGGCGAGGATGACGAGGACGATGAAGAAGACTAGTCCTGGTCTGTGTGTCCTGTTTCTGTCCTCCAGACCAGCGCAGAGACAGACAACAGGACCGAGTGTCTCCGCTAGTCTCCTTCAGTCCGTCTTTATTTTTAGATAATATATAAGAAGATTTTATCAGAACTTCAACCTCAAGAGTCCACGTGTTTCCCTTTAAAGACCTGGTCCAGGATCAGTCTGTTCGGTTTAGTCCGTCCCCCTTCTCCACATCCTGAACCTGATCCTCGTCCAAACGGTCTCACTGGCAAAGAATCCATCAGGCGAAAAAGACACAACTGAGAAAAAGGTCCCGCCCCTCCGCGGACTGACTTCCTGTCAGCAAAGATGTTTCAGAATGATGTCTCTTCTTGTCCCCACCATCAGCTGCTGTCCTAAAGAGCCTCCTGACAGAGTCCAGGTCCGACTACAAGACTTGTCTCTTTAGACATAAAGAAACGGGAGGCGCCAACCGGACTGATCCAGATCAGACGAATCCAGAACACATCTGCATCAGGACCGCTTGGTCTAGGGGATTTCTTGTATTCTGCTCTGGGCTTTGGACCTGCCGTCTCAGACCGCAACCCAAGTCTTGATCCACCCGTCATAGATGATCTCAGTGAACCAGGATCCGGAGCTTCAACAACAGGAAGTGAAGAGATTGTCAGGTCTCCAGGAGCTTCAGACCGGAACCACAATCCAGTCCGATCCACACCTTTTTTAAAGAATCACCAGAACCGGTTCTTCCTGCAGCCATATCCGGTTCTGAACTCTAACTGGGGGGCGGGGCGGCGGCGTCCCAAAGTCTTCAGGATCCTCCGTCCCAAAGTCTTCAGGATCCTCCGTCCCGGTCTGAACCTTCTAGTCTCTGAACTGATCATGTTAGAAACATGCAGACCTGGTGTAGCTCAGGTCCACGTACCCCCCCCCCCCAGTGTGTGTTTGGGTTGTTCTGGGGGGGGGGGGGCGGCATTAGTTCTGATCCTTTGTTTTTCTTTGGAGCGACTTGTTTGTTTTGTTGTTTTTGTCCCTGAACGCAACTGAGTCTCCTGTGGATAATGTTGGCATCACGGGAGACCCTGAACGCCTCGTATCGATTCGTTAATGTTTTGTGTTTTAAATAAGAAAACTTTTAGTTTCAGTCGGGACGTGACCGGCGGTCTCCTTCACGGACCCTCCGTTAGTGGACTTCCTGTCATTTAACCACGATGACCAACGGTCGCTTTTCTCTGACTGAATACATTTAAAAAGGTAGAAATTCAACGTATTCGCAGTTTTTAAAAAAAATTTTTTTACCTAAAATAAAACGTCAACATTTCTTCCCGGGGACTCAGCTGCTCGTCCTCCCCCCCCCGTAGATCACGATCGTTCTGACCGTTGATCTCCTGATGAGTCGGGTTTGATTCTGAAGAAGCTCAACTTTGACTTTTAACTAAACTGCTTTGAAGTTTTAGCTTGTCTCTCGTTTTACACTCTTAAAAACACAACGCACCGCTTTTAGATTCTCACGGCTGAAACAGGTTGAAGTAGTACTGTAATACTTCAGCGTACAAGTACATGCATCAAGTGTGTATTTAACTTCTTCATAATTAGATTTAATCATCTTTAAACTCTGAAACAAACACTTTTACGTCTGTTGACAGTTGGAAGTGAGAGCAGCTTGACCAATCAGAGCCCTGTGGGCAGCTAGGGGCGGGGCGTGTGTGTGTTAGCTTAGATGCTACGGTAGCATCAGCTCCATCAGAGGATGTCATTCAAACACTGAACATGTTCATTGGTTCTTCTGGCTGCTGTAAGAGTTTGATTGACAGCTGGTTCATCCAATCACCTGCCAGCTATTCCTCCTGCAGTCTATTTAAAAGTGGGCGTGTTGTGTTTTTAGGAGTGTAAGAGGTGAAAGGTCGCATCGGTCGGTTTGAACCGTTTTTTAAGGCAATATTGTAAATAGACTGCTCAGTTTCAAGTTTGTTTTTATTTTGTAATGAATTTAAATAATTTTACAGATGTGGTGTTCTTTTGCAGCGAGGTGATAGTTGACCCCCATCTTTTACCTGTGACCCCGCCCCTCTCCTCTGGGGGGGGGGGGGGGTTGCTGTGTTTGACTGTGTGATGTAACTAAACACATTGAGGGGTTTTAAATAAAAAAAAAAACTAAAGGAACAGGAAGTTGTGTTAAGGAGAAGTTTGGGGGAAATAAAGAGGTGGAGCTCTGAGGAGGCGGAGTCTCTCAGGACGCGCTGGGAGCCTGTGAGGCGAGCAGCAGGGTCCAGAAACCCTCGACTCCACAGGTGAGTGTCAGCAGGTGAGTCTGAAACATGAACCAGAGGTTTTATCAAATTAACTTCATGTAGTATTTAGTGCTGTTATAGCGTTGGTAGCTGTACTCAGCTGATGGTACTGCTCGTCTGAGGACGTGTGATAGTCTCACCTGGTGAATCGCTTTGCTGATTACCAGGGAGGCGCCTGCACTCAGACGATGAACACTCAGTAGATTGCTGTCCTTCAGCACGGCTGGAGGCTGGAAGCGGCGGGCGAACGAAGGAGACAGGGCGACTTCGTCAAGCTGAGACTCCTCCAGCGTGTGCTTAACGTGTTTCTATTGTCTAGTCTACCATGTGTTTGATCCTAGTTCTGCCCGGTGGTCACGTAGATGTTGGGCCACTCCCAGGTGACCTCACTAACCTCATCTATCCCACTGGCTCAGCTCGTGGTGGCGGGGGGGGGGCTGAATGCTGAGTTCATCTCTCCCTCAACATTTAGTTCTGTGTGACGGATGGAAGTTCCCTCTAAAACATTTCATGTTATAAATTATTAATCTGATGTAAATGATATGAACGATAATCATAAATATCTGCGCCAACACGACTCTTATTGTGAAAATCGTTTGTCTTCTTTTCCTTTTTTAAATATTTGTTTAATTTTCATCTTAAATAACATCTTTAATTGTTTTAATCATTTACAGGAGACTTGTAATCATCATTGAAGCACTGGTGGATCACATGACGGTGGATCACGTGACGGTGGATCACATGACGGTGGTTCTCAGGACGTCCTGTAGGCGGCGCTGCTGTCTGTTGCTCTGCTGCTGAAACAACGTGATGAAGATTAAACAGGTCACAGATGATCTATAGTTCAGTCCTTGTGCACATTTATATATAATATTAGATGTTTCTTTACGTTAACTAAAATAAGTCAAACTTACATTGTAAAGATGTGTTGACTCGGCTAAATATGAAGTTTAATTCAATCGTTTCCTGAAGTTCAGATTATTTAAATCGGCTACATGTTAAAAACTTAAGACAGTTTTGAACAAATCATTGAGATTAGTTCAGCTCTGATTGATGAAGCACGAAGGGAGCTCATGTTAGGAGACGAGGTGATGAGGAGAGGAGACGAGGAGCACCCTTTGACCTCTGAGCCTCCTCCTCAGATTTAACATGGATGACACTGGTAAATTGTCCTTTAATGGATGTAACAGCTGTGACCACAGACACTTACACACTCACACACACACACTACAGTGTACAAATACTCTGTTACAAGTAAAAGCACAGATTTACAAATGTAAGTTCAGATGTATTAACTTTAACAAAATGTAGTTAAAGTATTGATGTAGAATAATGTCTCCTTTGGGACCAGGGGGTCAGGGGTCCTGGAAAAAAAGTGTGTGTGTGTGCTGAAAGCTTTTGGTCGTCATGTTATTTTTATAACACAGAAACATTAAAACACAGCTGTGCTGTTATTGGACAGATACAGCAGGTCGATGACATCACTCTGACCTCTGTGCTGCAGTGTGATGTCACTGTTTCTTTGTGTTGATAATAAACAGGAAGTATTTTTAGTTCTGTTGCTACGAGAGCTTCTCCTCTTCCTCCTGCTTCTCCTCTTCTTCCTTCTGCTTCTGCCTCCTGCTTCTCCTCCTCTTCTGCCTCCTGCTTCTCCTCTTCTGCCTCCTGCTTCTCCTCTTCTCCCTCCTGCTTCTCCTCCTTCTGCTTCTCCTCTTCTCCCTCCTGCTTCTCCTC